CCTGATAGTGAACGCTGGCTGCTGCATTGTATTTGCTCTCTCCATAAAAGGCAGAAAGGAGAAGAGTCTGTCTGCTGCCTGGCTGCTGCATTGTATTTGCTCTCTCCACAAAAGGCAGAAAGGAGAAGAGTCTCTTCTCTACAGAATCGTATGGGTGTTATAACTTTGGTTAGCCTGTTTGCGAATGAAACACAGCTTTATCAGACCTCAAGCCCACCAAGTAAACAAATTGTGTACAAACTGGTTTAGCGTAAGAGTGGCTTCTTTGAGTGACGTGTGGAAAAAAATGAAGCAAAGATATGTGGTTCTGGCCCTGACTTCATGAAGGCCAAATTGTTTGTGCTCTAGGAGGTACACTTGGTGTTCTGGATTCGTTTATTTAACAATCATGTTTTGGTTTCTTTTTCCTGGTGCATTTTTTTTTCTGCCTCTCTGTTTGTTGTATTAAGGTGAAAACACGGTGTTTGTCTCACCTAGAAGAAATTGCCACACGTCAATTCAGCTTGCCCAGGGCCCTGAGAACTTGCTAACATACTGTAATAGTTTTTTCCTGGGGGAACAGCATCTGCAGAGGATGAGCTGAGATGCATTTTTTAATCAGGTTAACACCAGAAAGTTAATTTTCTGGCATCCAGTTTGTACTGTGCCAGACAGTAAAAGTAGAAGGGGATGTTGTGTTAGGAAAGGGAAATGAAGACAGGAGCTTGCTTTTCTTGGCAAGGGGAAGGCAGGTGCTGTCCCAAGAAGCTTGCTGTTTGCATCAAGTCAATTGCAGATGTAGTCAAAAACACAACGGAGACCAAGAAGATTTTTTTTTTTAAATTGGGTGAATAAGGGCACCACACAGTGACGTAATGCTGAAGTGCACATTTGTATGTGAGCCTCTTGGCATTCATGGATTTTTAGGTGGAATGTGAAAGACAGAGGGAGGAATGAATTGGATAAGCCATTCCCATGGTGGGGAAGCAGGCCGGAAAAGCTAAAAAGCAGAAAGACTGGCAGGGTTTCACAGTAGGGGGAGGATTCAAAACTGTAGCTATGAGGGGGAGAGGGAATTGAGGATATTAAGGTCTGTACATCAGTGGCAAGGGATGAAGGAACGTTAAGGAGTGTGGGTGTCAAAACATGCAGAGAATTCAGTGAGAGCATAAATGGGGCCTCTTTTACCAACTGGTTAAATTTTAGCTCCCTGTATTGAATCCTATTTTAGAAAATATTGTAACCGTAGAAATAAACACATCCTTATTTCACAGTCCTATATGTACAATCCAGAGCCAGTTTCTGCTCAATGTTAGGACAGCACAGGGAGGGGCATTCTCCCATTAGCTTCAGTGGACTTACTCCCAATGTACACTGGCGCGAATGAAATCAGAATCTGGCCCCCGAGTTTGTAAATTACAAACAGCAATAATTGGCTCTTTGGATAAAAGGCTGTGTCACAGCAAGAGCGTGTGTGTCATTTAAGGTTAATCTTAGAAGATGAGCAAAAGAAAGATAACACTTCTGAATGTAGCCTTGGGCTACATCCAAGGTGATGCTGCATTCATATGCACCATTCATGATATAGTGGGAGTTCTTTCCTCTGTTTGTTTAAAATATTGTTCTGATCCAAATGGCGAGTGTTCCCTTTGACACAAAACAACCCTAACTACATACCCTTTGTAGTGCTACCTAACATCACCATCAATATGGGGACATTCCCGGTTATTCACCCATATCATGTCAGTCCATCAGAGAAATAATTAAAACCCTTTGGGCGCTGGAGAAATTATTGATGTTAAGCTTTAAAGCGAGGCCTTCCAAACGTAGCCACTTAACTAACTGGCTAGCATTTAGAACAGATCAATATGTGTGTTGCAGGAAAGCAATGTTTGCTTTTCAATTAAAAGAACTTGGCTTGGTCCAGAAAACATGGTTAATAAATGAAAGGCACTTGAATTAAAACAAAAAAAAAAGTCCCTTATTAATCTCCATGGCTGTCTGACTCTGTATTCTTATTGAGTGTCCCACTCTGATTTGTTTTAATTATGGTATTTACTTAACCAGAATGCAAAATTTACACCAGAATCATTGCCCTCATTCAATTCCACTATATTAAACTATATTTGTGTGATTTTTTTTTAATATTCCTCCCTTTCCCCCCAAATAATTCACAGTAAGAGAAATAAATGTGATCTAATATCTCGTAGAAATGTGAATTCCATCCAGGCACCGAGGGGAGAATGAAACTTTTAGTATAATCTGACTGATTTTTTTTTTTCTAAACAAAATTCAGTAGTAACGCTGTGGTTATGTTTTCTGCTTGGAGTAAGGAAGAAAAGCACAGCTCCCATATTGCTAATAGGAGTTTTAAGGCTGATACTTTCTTCTTATTGCACTGAAAAGATATCCCTTCATGTTTTTATTAGTTGGAAAAGGACCAAAGCAATAGTTATCCTGGTACCTTTAGAATCTCTGTGCCTATCTGTCGGACGTGTTCTCCAAGGCTAACTATTTGCAGGATGTCATGGTGAATACTTTTGTAGATTTTTTTTTTCTTTTTCACAGAATATATACGGTTTGTAGACTTTGGGGAGAGAAAGGAACTAGTGGTAACCCTGTATAATCCACAGCATGGGAAAGGAAAATGGTTACAGTCAGGATTATCATCACCAGCAACATAGTCAAATGTCATGGCCTAAATGAATGACAGAGACTTGATCCTGCAGCGTTTGGAAAAGTCAGATTGCTGTGGAATTCATCTCTTTGGTGTAAATAGCTTTCCTGCCTTTCCATGATCCTACATTTCTGATGCAAAGAATTTTCAACAATAAAAGCAAAAAGACACCACATTTGTGTACAACAGAACTTTCTTTGGGACTAGAAATGAGGGATTCGAATTAAGGGACACTTGAGAGGTGGGAATATTAGTGGTGGTATTTGTTTTTTGATAGCGCCCAGAGTCTGGATCGGAATCTCCTTTTGCTAAGTGCTGTAGAAACACGAGAAGCCATGGTGAACAATGGCATTAGCGCACTTGTAAAAATCGTATGGCTTTCTGGAAGGACAGCAGTGCAGACATGCAGGCCTCATTGGCAACCCTGGTTGACTCCTTCCGAGAGCAGGCATGCTGACACTATATGGCAATGGAGGGAAGACAATAAGAGTGATTATTCTTGTCCAGTGTTAAACGTGTGTAATTCCACTGACTTCAGTGGTGTTACTGCTGATTTTACAGTGGTGTAACTAGGAGTTAGAGGCCCTGAAACCCTGTGTTGCTGCAGCATAATCTTTCCTATTTCCATTATACTTCCTTTGATTTTTGTTGCTGTGGTACATCATGACTCAATTGGGTAGCCTGCTTTGTTAAAACAAGGTCCTTTGTTCTCAAAAATGTCCTCACACAAGGTACATTTACTGATTCTTTGCTGATGTCCATCCTTTTTTTGTAACTCAGTCTGTATGAGTAGAGTGAGAGATGCAAATTTCAATACATACATTAATTTTTTAGCTGTTTGGGGTTTTTTTCTTTCCATCTGCTCTTGTAAATCAGCTTTTCAGCTATAATTTAGGTGGCATGTTTCATAGTGTTCACATCAAAGCAAAATAGTATTTCTTTCAAACATTTTGAATACAATTTCCTACTGAACTGATATTCTTAAAACACTAGGTGACTGTATGTCAGGGAGACTTTTGCCATATTTTTATGCATCTAAAGTCAAGAGAGGGCATGCTATACTGAACTTGTTTGACCTGTAATGTATACAAGAAACGGAGAGAATTTGACTGCATGTATAAAATGACCTGGTAGCCCAGCTAATTTCCTTTATATCTTAAAATAGGTTACTGAAATTCATAATGCATAGAACCTTGCTTGTTGAGCAATTCAGCATCATATGTGCAGAGGTACAACTATACTAACTGGTATTGCACTCAGTGATTGATTTTGAACAGGAGAAGCCAAGAAAATTCTGCATCTCTCTCCTAAAAGTGTATTTTCCATGGTTCTAAATGATCAAGAACTTTCCAGCTAGGGAGTATATTTTTCCCTTTCCTCTTTAGATATCTATGATTAAATGATGGTTTGCTATATATATATTGGGATGTGCTGTTTACCTTGGTCTGCAACTTGAAGACCTTTCTGTGGCTTCCCTAATCTGTTATATGAATTTCAAAAATAAATCACTAATTATGTATATAGAAAAGGTTTCCTTCTTTAGCTCTATGAGCTGGTAGATCTAAGTATTCTGTAAAGTACCAGTTTGTATAGCGTATGCTTTGGAGTTGGACCTATCTTACTCTTAATATAATATGCTAGAATGTGCAATGTCTGCTTGCACACACAAAGGTAATTGATTTACCTGCATGCAAAAATTAACCCTTAGAGTACTGCTTCAAGTTCCACAGTTTTGTTGTTGTTTAATGTTACTAGTGGGCTGTTCAGCTTTGCTACTCAGCTCATAGTACTGTACACAACTCATGTAATGAGCCATGTAAAAAAGAACTCTTTATGAGAACAAATCTTACCAAGACAAACTCCCCCAGGGTGTTAATGGGTGATCTATTCATAAGCAGCTACCGTTTTTAAGGTTTTACATTATGACATTAATTTGAAGTGTTTAATGTTTCAGTGTAATTGTATGCCTGGTAGATTTACTTCCTACACCAATGTAGCTGTGCATCCAATAAAAAGAAGTCAGTTCTTTAAGGGTTAATGTGGAGTTAGGGGATCCCAAGGTATTCTCCTGCTTGTCTTTCCTTAAAATGTCTGCATGTTTCTTTTCAGGTAGTTCACCTGAACATGTGAGCATTAGGAATGAATGAGTGACTAATTGAATGAATTAAATGTTCTTTTTTGGAAATGCCTGCTTGTATTTTGCAGGGGGCTGGGTAAACAATCGTAGCTCCTAAATTCAGGCCTTTATCAAAACCAAAGGCAAAATTGAAAAGGGGTATTTTTTGAAATTTTCCACACAATCTGATACCGCCAGTTTACTTCAATTTCTTTTTCTCTCAAATAGCCCAATAGAAACCTGCCAGAATTTCTACAAAGATTTCACATTACAGATAGACATGGCTTTCAACGTGTTCTTCCTACTCTACTTCGGCTTGCGTGTAAGTACCTTGAATTATGCCACATGGGTTGGGGAGGGATGCAAGAATTGTACTCAGAGGTTATTTGGCAGCTGCCTAATTCTTCATTCACAATTGATGCCAGGAAATGAAGTGGTTTCTGAGACCAATAAGTAAGGATTTTGGCTGAGGGCTCAGAGGCTAAGTAAGAGTGATGATAGGACTGGATTACTAAGGGGATTGGAATAGATAACTTTAGACCGTTGCCAATCTGCTATCCTCTAATACTGTTCAAAGACCCGTGTGGAATTTGGTCTCAGTCCAGTTCCGAATGGACTGATGTCTACATCACAAAAATTGCTACAACTGGCATTAAACTCCTGTCCTTCTTGGCAATCTTGGGAGAGTGATTGAACTGTCTTTGAGCTCCTCCGTGTTTTTGCTCTAGTTCAGTAGTGCAGACGCGTTGATGATATAGCAAGGGAAATTCAGTGCTACATCTTGTGTTGCACTTATAGGCCGTGTCCATACTCAGGGGTTCTTTCGAAAAAAGTACCCTTTTTTCGAAAGAACTTCCCCTGCGTCCAGACTCAAGCCGCGTTCTTTCGAAAGTAAATCGAAAGAACGCGGCTTTTCTTTCGATGGCGGTAAACCTCGTTTCACGAGGAAGAACGCCTTCCTTCGAAAGTTCCTCTTTTGAAGGAAGGCGTTCTTCAATGTAAAGAGGCCGTCTTCGAAAGAGAGCATCCAGACTTGCTGGGTGCTCTCTTTCGAAAAAGCGGATTTCCTCTATCGAAAGAAGCCTGCAGTCTAGACACAGCCATACTGTCTGCAAGCTATCAAGCTAGCAGCTGTCTGAAATGGTATCAAGCTAGCAGCTGTCTGAAATGCTAAGTTATTCGAAAAAAATGGTATTTTGAAAATGCATCATTGATCACTTCTCCCTGTGTTCTGAAAACCAGATCTGTTTAATGTGAATCAGGTTGTGCAATCAACGTACCTAAAATCACTAGTCATTTTAAAAAAATGTGGGCCAATTTTCCCTGTCATGTATGTTGGTTTTTTTTGCTAAATTCAGGCGAAAGGGCTATGACCTTGAGGGTAACACTGCTTGTTGTTAGCTGGCTATTAATGCTTATGGGGAGAACCTCAAAAGATTTGATAGTCTGTAAAATTGGCCTGGAAATCTTTTCAAGATTCTTTCATCGGCTTTCCTCTATATCCTTCTTGGGGGTTCACATATTTCCTGTGGTATCTTGGTACTTCTGCTTTTGTTTCCTCTCAGGAGCTGGAAGTGTAATTGTGAGCATAAGAAGTTAAGAAAAACTTTATCAATATTTTAGGAATCAGTAAGAAAGTTTGGCTTGTGATTTGGAAAAAGGGTCTTGATTGGGAGTTATTTTATCTGGTCAGTTTGACTTGGGCTAGGTACACTAGTTAGCCCTTTGAAAAACAGATTATCTCTGTATTTTCAGTATTGCTTCCCATATTCTATATCACAAATACATAATAGAATTCTCAGAGAGATAGCCTGTAACATGTTAGTCTGTAACTTTAAAAACAATGAGTAGTCCTGTGGCACCTTAGAGACTAACAAATCTGTATCTATAGATATATCTATAGATATAGAATCATGAACTTTTGTGGGCACAACCCACTTCTTCAGAGGTGTGTGTGTGTGTGTGTGTGTGTGTGTATATATATATATATAATCAGATGGATATATATATATTATCTTCATCTGTTCCCCCTGGAATAATGAAATGCAACTCACAATCATATAAATATTACTTTATCTACAGCTCTAGAAGATATTTGTGTCCAAATACATGCATGCATCCTGTATAAATTCTTACTCAGCTGGCATCCTAAGTTTACTGCAGAGGAGAAACAGAAGCTCTCAAACTTCTGATGAAGACAAAACGCAAATTAAATGAATTACCAGATAGTCAGGCAATAAGGCATGAGAGAACTATGGTTTTCAAGAGCTAATCATGGCTTTGGGATGCATGACATATTGCGAAGTACCTTAATGATGGCATGCAAACACTTAGAGCATGATAAGTATTACCTCAGGAGTTTATCCTGCTACAGTTATGGAATTTGTTTGAGAGTTATTAATTATTTAAATGAATTACTTTCACAGTATTTGTATTCAGTACCATTATAGAAAAAACCAATGTCTTTTGCTTACTGAATTTGAATCAAGTCTCAGTTTGACTTGATTTCTGAAAGTAAGGGAATTCTGAGTTATGGGAGGCTAAAAATCACACAAGAAACCAACTCTGTTGTGACTAAATATCTCCATGTACATCTTCCTAAAATCTCCCCAAGTTTGGGACACCCTTGCTGAGCAAGGTGATACCAAGTTTCAGCCTACACTTGGTTATCTCCTTGTTATATTTTCATGCCAGACCTTTGATGTCAATTGAGCAAGCAGGTGTCTCTTTAATTATTTTAATGGGACTTCATGAGCATGGAAAAATGTGTTGTTACAAACTCGGGGCCTTTTGTTTGGGTATAGGACTTTTATTGGATTCTTATCACTCCATGCCCTTTTCTAATAATCTCTCTGGAGTTGCAATGCGGTTGGTGTACAACATGTATTATTTTATGTAGAACAGTTTTAAAGAGGCAACAAGTAGTCAGAGACTTGAGAAACAATGATATGGTTTATGGACATTGCTTTCAGTTGAAGGTACTGCTTTTATATCTGATCATCCGACGGTCAAGTGCTAGCTGGGGTAGATTCCTGATTTCTCTAACTAAATGAAAGAATGCCTTTGATGTGCATCTGAGTTTGGTGTGTACACTTACTCCAAGTTTTGCATGACAGTAGTTGCACATTTCCTAAAGGAAACATTAATGTTCAGAATAGCCCATGTAGCACATACGATCTCATTGAGATCATAAAAATGCCAGGAAAAATTGGGTATCAACCACATGTGTGTACCTGCTATCAGATACTTGAGTGGAGGTGCTGAAGGAAATCTGATTGCACTCTCCATGGCTTTTTATAAAAAAGAGTTTACTTGGAATGATCTCGATAAATGCTAAAAGAGGGGTGTATTGCTGCTGTCTCCTTTCAACAAATCTGAGAACTCAATGCATAAATGTTCCTCATTTTTCTCTTGATATATGGCCCTCTCACTGTTAATTTTAGTGTTGCCAGGTAATGTTGTCAAGTAAACCAGTCTTGTGATTCATCTGAGCACACCAAATGCTGCTCCACAAATTTCTAAAGTAAAACGGGAACTTAATCTTCAGAGAGGAGAATATTGTACACAAATGTATAAACATGTTTATAAATTGATTTGTTTCCCCCTTTTCTTTTTCTAGTTCATTGCAGCCAATGACAAGCTATGGTTTTGGCTGGAGGTTAACTCAGTGGTAGATTTCTTCACAGTCCCTCCGGTGTTTGTGTCAGTGTATTTAAACAGAAGTTGGCTCGGTAAGTAAATAGCTTTTCATTTTAATTGCTGATATCAAAACACACACACCAGGGCCCAGTTTATAGCTTTTCATTTTAATTGCTGATATCAAAACCAGGGCCCAGTTAGACAGAGTTTTGCAGTTCTTCATTCTGCATCCCATGTAAGTGGAGGAATGGAACAGATGTTGTCTTTGCAGGATGTTCATTTCAGCAGACAGGTGGGTTATATTGCATGGGACACTTACCAGGTCCATTATACTCTTGATACGTGAATGCAATTCCCAGTACGGCAGAGTTGCAATAGATACCTGGTGACATTTGCGTGGCAGTGAACACCAGCTTGCAAGGAGAAGTGTCTGAGATTAAGTTACTTTTTAAAAGGTAAGTTTAATTTAATTGTTCCTGCTCACAACCTGGGCAGACAATCCAAAGCATTCATTTATAGACGTACATTGCCATGAATCATCATGGACCTGTGTAACAAAAACTTGAACTGATTGGGGCCAACTCGTATGAACAATTGGAAAGACTCTGATAGTATTGGTGTGACCTTTTGCTTAGGAAAGACCATGGGGGTGGAACAGTGATTGATTCCCTAGGCTAGTGAATGGGTTGCATGAGTGGCCCTCCGTCATCTCAATGGTCTGCTAGACTGTCACAACCAAGGCGGTCTGCCAGGACAGGGTAGTTTTGCTTACTGTGCTTGTGTACTAAGAATGTGTAGGGTGTGCTGGTCGAACTGTAAGAGCACTTTGATTGGATGCAGCAAGAGCACCTGGATTTTATAGCCAATGTTGTTTTCGATTAGCGCACACCTCACTTCACATGCCCTTGCTTTACCTGCATGTCATGCTAGTAATACTGGTATGCAAAAACCGACATGGACGGAAACCAGCAGAATCTGGCAACTCTGTGCATGACCAATGGTAAACAAAACGTCTTTCAAGCTGCACATAGAAGCGCAGGTTTCCCACTGCTGGTGTGGTGAAAATACCGAGGTGCTGTGTGAAAACAGAAAGCACAAAATGAAGCTGAGCAGCCAGTGTTAAAAAGAAATACCAAGGGAGAATGCACAGGGGAGGAGGGCAGAGAAGCAGAGATGTCGAGAGAGAAATATTAATGGAAAACAAACCATGTGCCAGCCTAGTATTTGGAAGTTCCTCTATCCTTAATACAAAACACAGACGTCCCCTTTAATTCAAATATTGGAATTCTTATTCAGTCAAAGCTCTTGCTATAGTTAGTGCAGTCATGGTTACAAGGGACCACCTCAACCCATTTTCCACTTTACCCTGGTTTTGGAGTCTCAGAGGGGTAGCTGTGTTAGTCTGTAACTTTAAAAACAATGAGTAGTCCTGTGACACTTTAGAGACTAACAAAAATGTACATAGCATCATGAGCTTTCTGAGGCAAAACCCACTTCTTCAGATGATGAACTGGAGAGGAATAACAGAAACCAAGTGTTTTATAACATGGATATAAAAGTAGCCATACTTCTACAAAGGAATTTCACCAGCCAATTACAGAGAGAGTGAGTGGGCAGAATTGGTATTCTTCTGCAAATTTGACACTGTTTCCCTGGGCTTAAACAAAGACATTAACTGGATGTTGCATTAGAAAGCCAGTGTCCCCTGCCCTTAACAGCTCATTTTTTCATCAAAAGCTAAGTATGGGACACTCAAAGCCCTCTTAATTAGTCTCATTAGCACCAGTCCTACAATTGACAGGTAATATTTTTCTGTTATAAAATAGTTGGTTTCTGTTGTTCCTCTCCAGCTCATCATCCCAGGGAGTGGGTTTTGCCCACAAAAGCTCATGATACTATCTATATTTTTGTTAGTCTCTAATGTACCACAGGATTGATTACCCATGGGTTTGGGTCAGCAATAAGAATAAGATGGTGGAGTGGGCACAAAACAACCAGTTGTCCGCTGTCTGCATTTGGCTCTAAGTGAGCATGGTTCCTGTTGGATTCATCCACACACACAGCTGGGTGAGGTGGAGAGGATAAGACTGGCTGTTCCCAGTTTACACTTAGTGGTTTGTAGACATTTGCAGCCTGGAACCCAGACACATAAATGAGGCCACCGTAGTTGGTTGATGACACTGGGGGGGAGGGGAGGCAGTATCAGAGGTGTCTGACGTGAACTTGCGATCCTCAAACATATTTAGCATGTGCAACGTGACAGCAGATCAGATTAATTGATGGCATATCTCTTTGCTTCTTGATTTATATGTGTTCTCTTGTCATTAGACAATGTCAGCACTGTGATGAGTGATTTAGCTGATTACATTGTGCTTGGATGCCAACATGGAGTTGGAGAACTCTTCAAACCGGACCAATGCCTAGAAATTCCGGCATGGCACAATGTCAGGGATGACGTCTGGCAAAGTACCAGGATTTATTGAATTCATAAAAATTCAGTCTGCTAGGTTGGGTCATTAGCTTCCCGGGGGTTACCCAGGCAATGACGGGGGATGCTACTTGAATGTTAAACCAATGCCACTCACTACATAGGGATGATTGTTTTCTCTATATGTTTTGGGGGACAAGGACAGCGTGATGTACTCAGTGTGGTACCACAACTTAAATAATTAATAATAATATTAGAGAGCATATACACTTTCTACAGATTTTATAAATTAGTTCTGCCACTGTAGATGCCATTTTACTGGAAAAGGAAGCTCAAGACTGAACGTGACTCCTTCCCATTGGGTAGGAAGAGTCATCCCCGATCCAGGCAAGAGCATTCTCCCCTTGGTTGCCATTTGCAGTCTCGCTTTTGTCTGTTGCGTGGCTACCTCTTCTGAAGGCTCTCATTCCCTGTTGAGTGACTGAACTTGTCTGTGAAATCAGCCTAGGCTTTGTGTACAACGGGCAATGCTCTAAGCTGTCTCCCACTCTCCTTGTGGTTTTTTTCCCCCTTCAGAGCAGAAGGGTCCTCTGTGAAAGAATGAACCATGAATCATTAAAGCTTCCTGCCAGATCTACAATTTAGAGCCATAACCTCAGCTCCTTCAGTGTTGCTCCTACATGCTGTGACAAACGAATTATGTACAAATCCAGCAATATGTGTTAATGATGAACCTCTGAGTCCACCCTTTAGATTGTTGGTTCTGCCTGAAGAGTCCAAGGATGGTATAAATATTTTTCCGTTTTCCCTCAACAAAACACCAGACCTTGGCCTATTCCCATAGCCCTTTGCAGTAGTATAAAGGGCTATGAAGCTGACCTAAGCAGGCAATGTAAGGATTCCCTGAGCACAGGAGAATTCCCAAGCCCTAGGTATTAAGGGTAGGATGGGATAGTACCAAGAATGCACTTCATTCTGGGGTTTCTTGAACTGATCCATGGCTTCCTTTGGGATTTGAATGAGCAAGCTGAGGTGAGTTCACCTAAGGCAAAGATACTCGAGGGAGCAGATGTGACTTCCTGCCAATTTATGGTATCATTGCCTTAATATAACTTAGAACTGTCCCAACTGGTTAAATCAGTTAGATATCTTAAGCCTCTGTAAATGAGGCCAAGGGAAATAGATGGACATTATAATTCAGTTACAGCAAAACAAAAGAAACCAAACCCCTCTATACCCAAGATTAAACACAGTTTCCAGAGAAGCAAATGTTCATTTCAAGAACCGAGATATAGCCACTTTCATCATGCATTTCCATAGTTATCAAGAGTAAAAAAGGACTTGCATGATCTTAATACATTAGTTTATTGCTCAGTTACAGTGGAAAGCCAGTTAATTTTCTTTCCTCCCCTCTAGTCATTCAGAAAGGATGAGAGAAGCATCATCAAGAAAGGATTTACTTAAAAAAAACGTATCTGGGAAACATTTCTAAAATATTTATTATAAATGTGCCATTGGCTGTGGAAAATACTTATTGGTGTGGGTAGTGTACAGAAGATTTATCAACACTCACTTGGGAAGAATTTGCATGAATCGTGCCAGTCATTTGTGAGCACTGCTATTCTAAATGAGTGTCAATAAAACCTTTTTCCGCACCACATCATCATGGATTCCTTCTCATTCCCTTTACCTCAAATTTTCTTCCCGTCTTTTTTTCATGCTTGTTGATCGACATTTCATTTCCTAATTGTTACTCTAACTTTCCTTTCAAAAGTAAGGTGAAACACAGAAGAGAGAAAAATGTTAGCGTATCTGGAGACAGTTTGAACAGTGTTATGGAGCTGGGTTTATTTCTTCAGTTAGTCACGTTGTACCATTTTTCCCTAGGGGTGGATTCTATGACAGGGTCACAAATATCCTTGTTTTCTCTTGAGGGAAGTTTACTTACTTCCAGGTTTCATCTTAGAAAAGCAGACTACCTGGCCATTTCCTCCATCCACTGTTCTTTTAGAAGCAGTCATGCCTGTGCTGGCAATGTCATGCTTCATAAAATCCTCTATATCTCTAGCATAACACTATACGCAAAATTGATAATAGCAATAAAAGGACAATTCTCCAGTCCAAGCACACACATCTGTGGAGAGGAGAATCTTCCCAAGAAAACATTGCCAACAAAAAGAGCAGAGTTTCGTGTTTTAAAAAAAATAATTTCACAGATTGTCAGCCAAATGACTACAGTGCATTGCAGTGTGTACAGGTTTTATGTCCAGTTCCAGTGAAGCTAGGTTAAAAATGAAATTGTTCTGTGAAAACAGTGACATCAGTCTAGAGGGATGAGTCTTATGTTATAATTTCCTCTCCTTTTGTAACAGACATGAGTTGTGTTTTAGCCGACAGAGCTGCATTTTCAACCGTGAAATCCTCATTGCTTTCAGATGGGTTGCAATATGCTGATTTAAATAACACTGTAAAAATAAGTATCTTCCAGAAATACATTCAGCAGTAGTTTACAAATATACCACACGGTGTTTTAACACTGTTACTTTAGCCACATTAAATGCCTGAAATTGCCTCTCAATCTGACAACTATAGATGCTATGTGAGGAAAAAAGCAAGGTATTGATTCTGGTTGAAACTTAGCCTCAGAATTAATTGCCTAGACAG